ACGACGAGGCTCCGGCGGCAGTGGCAGCAGCAGCTGTGGCCGAGCCAAACGTGGCTTGGGCTGCCTCTGTCGGTTAGGATCCCCTTTTGAGGAAGTGTTTCCCGATGGCCCCTCCTTTACGAGGACCTTTAGAACAACACCTTTATAATAGCTCTAAACCACCCAAAGCTTCAGCAAACCTTGAAGTCCCCAATAGCCTAGCCCCGTTCTCTCCGACAAGCGAGATAGGAGTTTCTCAAGCTAGTCCCTAAGAAGGACCCCATAATCCCCCTCATGATCCCTATCAATCCCTAGGAGCCTTGCTTGGAGGGTCAGAGGGATTTAGCACGTCTACCTGTAAACACTTAAGACCATGCAATAACCCCAGTTATCCTCATTGTTAGAACCTACTTCCTAGGTGCCCCCAGCACCCAAACACCAAACCCAAATCCTAAACCCTAAATCCTAAATCCTAAACCCCAAATCCTAAATCACAAGCTCTAAACCTTTCAAACACTCCCAGGTCACAGGTGAGGATGGTGCTGTGGCCGCTGTGGCAGCGACAGCTACGAAGGCCAAGGAGCCGGTCTGAGTTAGGGCTCGGGGAAATTTAGGGTTTGGGGTTTAGGGTTTAGGGTTCCCAGGGAAATTGACTTCTGGAGGTTAGTAGGGAATAAGGGTTTAAGACTTAGAGTTTAAAGTTTAACGTTTAGGGTTAGCAGGGAATACGGGAATGTAGGGTTTAGGGTCTAAAGTTCAGGGTTTAGGGTCAGTAGGGAATATTTGTAGGGAATAAGGGAATATAATCCCTTCCTTATATATTTATATACATTCCCGTAATCCCTACTGACCCCTGGTACATATAGTTTGTTCGCATAGGACACCTCATATAGTCAGCTAATTCCTCTCTACCCCCAGATACCCCGAAAACCTAATCCCTAAACCCTTGGCACGAAGGACGGATCCGTGGAAGCGGATGCTGTGGCGGCACCCGCGGCCCCAGCAGTGCAGGCCACAAAGCCTCAGGACGGCAGGGAGCCTGAGGCTTGTGGCTTTAAGGCTTAGGGTAGGATTTAGGATTTAGGATTTAGGGTCTTTGATTGAGGGTTTCGGGGTAGGATTTAGGATTTAGGGTTTAGGATTTAGGGTCTTTGATTTAGGGTTTAGGGGTAGGATTTAGGGTTTGGGGTTGAGGGTTTAGGCTTTGGGTTCCCATGATATGGGTATATAGCGCATAACAGGGCTTCCTCAATTAGTAGCCCAGCCACCTGCTCGTACTGTATGCTGGCTTTGCTCACCACCTCGCCGAGGATCATTACCATTCCTTGTTCCAAAATGCGCAATGCAGGCGGCAAATTTCACAACCACCGGCGGCCACGAGCTTCATGCTTGACTGCCTAAACCCTAAGCCCTAAACCCTACACCCTAAACCCTACGGTACTGAGGAGCTCGAAAAGTGAAATATTGCCAAGGCTCCAGACTTGGCACACGCTTCGCAAAGCACGCGGCTTTCAGCATCCTGGTTATGCAAGGGGATATAACGGATTATCGAGGAGTTATATAGGGGTGGTTATGTATACGGTATATATAGGGGTTCTAGATATATATACATATAGGTTACATAGAGGTAATGGAAAAGAAAATGGAAACTACTATAAGAGGGTATGTAGGGCTTAGGGCTGTCATGAAGCTCCGAGCAATTCACTGTTTCACTATCATGCTATCATGCAGCGTGAGTCCTGTGAAAGACATGTGTCCAGGACCGCGTCCGCAACGCGATCACAAACTTTGTCGAAATGCCCTGGCAAACACAAACACAGAGACTTGGCAACAGGATTCACTGGGATAGACCTAGCGGCCCTGTAACAATTGTTTGTCATCAAGGGCTCTATGGGGATTATATAGGGATTGCGGTCCATTGTAATTGACATGTTCTCTCAGTAATATTCCAGTTCAGGGTTTGGCATGATCTTCGCGGTGAGGCACGTCCGATTCCTGCCCCATCTCTGAAGATCCATGCTGAGAGTTCTGCAGAAGCCTGAATCATTTCCCATATTTACCGCTGATGATCCGTATCTGATACTGTGATATTCCATGCTCCCCAAAACCTCTTCAGGGTTCTACACTACCCCTGGTCAAACACCGAACCCAAGTGCAAGCCCCTCGGCCAGAGCGCCTTCCGTCGTTGCCTCAGAGGTAAAGAGGAAATGTCCGCTGGGCAGCGCATCGGGCATTGCCGGGTGCCTCCAGAGCAGACTCACACGAGCTTTGGCACAGATGTGAAGCACAAGACAAAGCAGCACGTGAGCTATAGTCTAATCTCCTAGTATCCCCCTTAATAACACCTATATTAACCCCCTATAGAATCCCCAATGTAACCCCCCCTAAGGAGTTCAGATTATAGCTCACATAGACTTAGGCCCGCCTTCAAATGCCGTGGTGAGGATTACATTCGCTGCGAAGCTGAGCCAAAAGCATCAGTGGAGTCGCCGTTACAGTGTGGGGGCAGTACCCAACCTACACTCCTGATCTGCAACCCTAGACCCTTAACCTTAAACCCGAAACAAATAAACACACCAGCAGGGAACAAGAGGCCGAGATCGCCCAGCAGTATTTCAGCCACATGAGCTATCTAGTCTAAACTTCTTAAAAGGGGGGCCAGGAGTCTAGATTATAGCTCATATGCTTGGCTACTGACATGCTACCCCTTCTCAAGTTTGCATTCTGAACAAGGAGCGCAACTCTGTCAGGCTGTGGGGGTGCATAGGGGGATTTCCCAAAGTACGGTTTATACCAGGGTCCCCTGTTTTGGAACTTCCATATTCAATGCAAACTGTGATGTCTTCATGTTCGTGATGATCTCCGAAGCCTAAGCAAAAACCCCTAAACCGCAATGCATCGAGGCTAATTTGCGAGCATATATCCCTCAGGTTGGCCCCCACCCGCTAAAAGTGAGCACAAGAAGTAATGGTAACTATTTTAGGGTCCCTTTATATTACTAGCATACCACTATCAGTGGGTAGGAGCCCAACCCAATTTTTGCGTTCCAAACCAGTCATGACAGGTTTTATATGGAGCAATTTAGGGTTTAGGGTTTAGGGTTCAGGGTTTAGGGTTTAGGGTTTAGGGTTCTGCCGGGGCAGCTCCTAGTTACTCTGCTCCGGAACGTGCCTTGAAACCAACTCCTTCTGTTTAGGCATACTACAGGGCCCTACATGGGGGTTTCCTAAAATTAGGGGTACCTATTTGGGGGTCCCTATAATAAGGATTAGAGTATTTGGGGGTCTATATTGGGGTCCCCTTATTTTGGGAAACTACCACATAAGTACCAATATCAATATCATCTCGTAGTGTCTTGCAGGACTCCCAGAAAATTAACATCCAAGGCATCTGGGACCACAAGAGGGGAAAGTATGCCTATGCAACCCCCAGTTTCATCTGATTGTCCATTCATTTTCCAGGATCTGTGTTGTCACGATTCTTTAGTTCAGGACGCCCATAATCTCATTACTATTCCCATATACCACTAGGTTTTCCAGGGGTCCGCATTTTTTGAGAATTACCGTTTGAGACCCTAGACCTAAACCCTGAATTCCAAATCCTAAACCATGAACCCCAAATCCTAAACCCTGAACCCCAAACAACAAAACCCAAGTCCCAAACCTAAACCCTAAACCTTAAACTCTGGACCCTACACCTAAACCCTAAGCCCCTGCAGTTATGTCCCGGACTTTTTCCTCCCCGCCGCCAGCATCGGACACCTTTGGCCGCACCGGCACCCATCGAAGTTGAGCAGGCTGACTCCGGGACCTTAGGGTTTAGGGTTTAGGGTTTGGGCGGGGTTCAGGGTTTAGGGTTCGTGATTTAAGGTTCAGGATTTAATCTTTAGGTTTAGGGCTTAGGGTTGAGGGTGGAGGGTAAAAGGTAGGGGGGTTAGGATGGAGGGCTTAGGGTTTAGGGTATTATGAGCATCATTAATAGAATTCTTGCTGTTGTCTTGCTGTTGTCATTGTTATTGTTGCTGCTGATAGTACTGGTAGTGGCCGCAATAAAGTTCTAACAAACAACAAATGGTAAATGGCAAATGGTAAACACTAATGGTAATAGGAATAGTAGATGGTAGTGGTGAGAGCAATAGGCAGAGGAACTGAAATTATCTCCTGCCCCTTGAGATTACCCACCCCTGATATTGAACATTTCTGATTGATTGGGGCGTCCCACAACGGGAAATTCTTAACATTTCCCAACACTAAACCCTAAACACCCTAAACCCTTTAAGGCCGGTTGGGTCTTGATAGGAGGGGGAAGGCAGGCCAGAGTCTGCTAGTCTGCAGAACTGAACCCTGAAGTATATGACTTGAACACCCTGTACTTGGAGGCTCTTTTGACTTGGTGAGTCTATGTAGTCATGGGGGCTGTGGGGCTTACCAGGGAGGGGGATTTTTTGCTACCCAAAATAAGGACCTTATGCCTACCATATGACTCGTGTAGACGCTCATCACAGGGGTTGAGCTCAGAGTCCTCTTATGCCTTGATCGGGAAGCAAGAGATGAGGCCCAACGTGCAGATTGACAACGGCAAACTCCGAACAGATACTCTCGGAATCCTTGGGATACATGTGATTGTGAAGGGACTTGAGGATCCCGCTAAGGAGAAGGTTCTGAGACAAATATGTTTGCCCCTCAAGTTGAACCTCATATCTTGCTGATGGGCTTGTTTCGGGTGTAAACCTATCCCTTTAATCCCTGTTGCCTTGCCCTCCTCCAAACGAACAAAAACAAAGCACTATTGACATGGCTGTACTTACTTGCCGTGAGTGGGGAGTAGAGCCATGGGTCATAGGGACGATTGAAAGGGGCGATATGGGAGCTATAGTGTAAACTCCTAGTATCCCCCTCAATAACCCCTATGATTCTCCCCTATATCACCGCTCTTAAGGAGTTTAGTGTTTAGACTACAGCTCATGTATGAGCCAATATGATGTATCCATCCTTCACAGGGAGTGAACCTAAGGCCTGCACCATGAAACGTCGAGCGTAACAAGGGAAATGTGGTTACCTCGTACTAGGGACCCTATCGCTATCGTATGACTATACCAGGTTGCAATGTTAGGGTTTGGGATTACAAAAGCTCCTTTTATTATACCAGTTTGCATGCTCTTTGCCATTCCCCAGACCCCAAACCCTAAACCCAAATCCTAAATCCTAAACCCTGACCCTTTTGGGTTGAGGTTAAAAAGAAGTATCAGGGAGGCCTCGGCGCAGTTACCACTGACTCCTTGCGGGCCTGAAGGGTGAGGACCGAAAATCAAAATAAGAAGAATAAAACATAATAGGGTTGGGGGTTCAGGGTTTGGGGTTTAAGGTTTAGGGTTTAGGGTTTAGGATCTAGGGTTTGGGGTTTAGGGTTAGGGAAGAATGATAATGTGAACTTATAATCATTTGTAATTTGAACAAAAATCGCAAGGCTTCATTAAAAAGAACAATAATGATAGAGAGACAAATACTTGAACAAATAGAGACCTAGATAAGGTTTGTAAGCTTCGGGGGGCCCTAAACCCTAAACCCGGTTTAGCAAGGTTAGGGCTTGGGGGGCTCAGAGTTTCAAAAGTTCAGGTCTCAGGGTTTACAGCTTGGGGTGGGAAATTACCAGACGCGGTTTCGGGTTTAGAGTTTAGGGCTGGAGTCTAAACTCCTAGTATCCCTCTTAAAAACCTTATAGTGCTCCCTCTGGAATCCCCTCTATAAGCCCCCTTTAATGAGTTAAGACTATAGCTCATGTGGTTCTAGAATCCTCGTAGCACTATTGTGTAGGGTATCTCAAAACCAACCTCAGACTGAACTTGACAATTATTTAGGGCCCTGGACCCTGAACCCTAAACCCTAACCCCTAAACCCAAAACCCTAGACCTAAACCCTAAACCCTAAACATCCCTAAACCTAGACCCTAAACCCTAAACCCTAGGCCTAAACCCTAAACAACCCTAAACCTAGACCCTAAACAAACCCTGGGGTCAGTCGAGTTTGGTCTTTACAGGCAACTGGCAGAAGACTACGGAGTTGCGGCTAAGGAACTTATAGTCCCCCTAGAAATGGAAACCATTATGTTATAATAGGGTACATATTGGGTTATAACCCCCTTAAGTAGATATAGGGGATATATTGGGATCATGGAAAAGAAAATGGGCGCAACTATTTAGGGTTTAGGGTTTAGAGACCATTAAGTAGATAGAACATGGGGTATATGGGGATCTTATTATCATATACCCAAAGCCATATTCAATCTACTAAAGGGGGACTATCAATTAAGATACCAAAACGGCTTTCCTTTTAAAGGAATAATAAAGGGGTATAAGTAGCGTTTAGGGGTAAGTTACCACGATCTACATGCATAGCACATGATGTGGGCTCGTTGCGTGATAGCTTGACTTAAGGTCCTTCGCAGCAACAGAGTGTAGCTTACACGCTGCGGTGCACTAAACCTTGGGTCATTCCTCCTGACAGTTAGTGTCCTTTACGGCTATCATAACTCCTACTATCTTTTGCGGTAACTTTTATTGTTGGTGCAAGGGGGAAGGACCCAAGCCAAATCCTAAACCCTAACCCGTGTCTTCGAAGGCCTCCTTCGCCTTCGCATCTCGAAACTGCCTGGTCAAAACAAAGCAGACATCTCGGGGTTTCAGAAAATTGCCAGTCCCATGAAAGGGGTTGGGTTTAGGGTTCAGGGTTTAGGGATTTTTGGGGGTGAAGAGGACTTCAGGGGTAGCACCCCAGTAACGGAGAATCAAATGAAAAAGCGCATGGAAAGAAAATGGAAACTGGGATTATATAGTGGTTTATAGGCTCAAGGGCTTCGAAAAGTTAGGAGGCCATTTGTCTATCATGTCCCAAGAATAAGGACTCTAGTAGTTAGAGGCATTTGAGGCGGATCCATGTTTCTGAAAACTCCCATTTAGTCTCAGGACCGATGCGCGGGAAGTCAGGTTGCGTTACAACTTCAGATTCTGACTCGGAACTTTGTAGTATAGGGTTTAGGGTTCAGTGTTACTACCTAAACCCCAAAGTATGCAAAATAACAGCCCTAAACCCATAATGCCTTAATGACAGCCGTAAAGGCCATCATCTTACATACTTTTGGGAGGCTTCGTGCAAGCAGCTATAGCAGAAAGCTCATCAAACATGGACACTGTAACGTGGCTTTCTGGACCTTGACCCAGCTACAAGTTCCTCGGGGGGTGGTCTGATGGGGCTAAGCAACCTAGTAATCCCAAATGAAGGTTTCCAAACATTAGGGCTCCCTTTTTCGGGGTCCCCATTAAATAGATTATAGTATGTGGGGGTTCATTTTAGGGTCCCCCTTGTAGGGACGCCACCCAATGAACCTCAATCCCCCATAGCTCTGAGGGATTTGGAACCCCAGTAGAAATTAGAATTGCAGCTAAATATTAGGATTGTTGGTAACAGAAATTAATAACTATTTTCAGGAACCTTGTAGATAGTTCTCCCAGGTACTCCAGCACCGACTTCCCTCAGTGCCCCTTAGGGACATAGTAACCCCAAACCCTAAAAAGCCAAAAAGGCCTAGGATGCCCGGTTTAGGGGTTTAGGGTTTAGGGGTTTAGGGTTTAGGGGTTTAGGGTTTAGGGGTTTAGGGTTTTGGGTTTAGGGTTTAGCCTAAGTTGCCCTAAACCCCCAACTTCAATATGCCATAAATATTACGGTAGCTTCCACTTTTACGTTACCAACCAAACATGTGGACACTTTGGCCAGAGGTCTGCGCTGACGGTGTAGCGAATCACCTGCATCCCCTCTAGCCGGGTTGAGGGCTTAGGGTTTAGGGGATCTAATCCCGAATAAGGACCCCACAATCACCACAACCCTGATTGAAATCCCTGCCCTTTAAGGCAGTTTAGACCCTAAACCCTAAATAAAGGGGGCTATATAATCCCCTACATACAAGGCAGTTTAAACTATATAGCTCATATTCCCCTTGGTCGCCAAAAGCCACTCCTAACAGGCCTTTGGGCCCTAGGATCCAAAAAATGGAACCCCCTAATAATCCCCTAGGTTCCCCAATGCAGTAATGGATTGATATTGGAGGGGTTCCATTTTTGGGATCCTTTAGGGGGTCTGGGTATAGTCTAAACTCCGAGTATCCCCCTCAATGGCCACTATAGTATGGGTTTAGGGTTTAGGGTTTAGGGTCTAAACTCCGAGTATCACCCTCAAGACCACTATAGTATGGGTTTAGGGTTTAGGGTTTAAGCTCTAAACTCCTAATATCCCCCTTAATAACCCCTGTAGTAGTCCCTATATACTCCCTTATATAACCCCATTTAAGGAGTTTAGATTATGGCTCAAACGTGCCTGCGCGGTAGATCCTCACCACTGCCAGCCATCTGCCGCCTGAACACAGAGCGTATAAGAATACATGGGCATTGTGTTCGATATTACCACTATTGGAAAAGAAGTTGGAGAATGAAGCGGACACTAAATTTCCAAATGTGTTTTTCGACAAGGATTTTGGTAAACCCAAAATGCAACAACAAGAGCCTTGAACTATCACATGACTATAGTAGGCCCTGACTTGGAGTTCGGGTTGCCACATCCTCTTTCTATTCCGTGCTGCGCAGCAAATGACTGACCCCTGCCGCCCTACACTCTAAACCCCAAACCCCTAAACCCTAAGCCCCTAAACCCACTTCCAAGCAAGCGCGCAGCACTGGCAGCTGATAGGAGGGGCATGGAAATGAGTTATCCTGTACTTAGCACTTTCAATTAGAAGGGATTCTGTTGTGAGGGTCCAAATAATAAGGACTATGGATATTTTAAATATATGAGAGGGACTCCAACTTCAGAAAAGTGACTGGCAAAATGGCACCCAATACTGTGAAACCCTAAACTCAAAACCCTAAAGCCTGCACCCCTACTGTGAAACTGACACAAGGCGCCCAGATCTTAGAGCAGCGCTGTGACAAATAGATGTGGACTGGTCAAGTTCGAAGATGGAAGGTCAGCGTCTAGGCGCCAAAAATCTCTAAAACACGATAACCCTCACATGACACCATGAGGCCTTCGAACCAAGGACCTTTAGTCTAGGTTTTGAGACCCTCAACCCTATACCCCCATGTATGATTGAACCCTGGCGTCCTCAGCCCCTCCTCCTCCCCTCCTTAAGGGTGGTTGTCAAAATTATGGCCCCGTTTTGGGTCCCTATTATAGTACGTCACCTAATAATAACTAGGGTACCCAAAAGGGGACCACAATTTTGACAACCACCCTTAATGTGGCAGGGCTTGGGTCTTGCGGATAATGAATGAGGAACGGACAAAAACAATAGGAAAAAAAAGACCAAAATACATTGAACTCCAAGCGATTGCGAAACATTTGGTTCCCAGCATTTATACTTGAAGGAATTCAATACATTGAACTCCAAGCGATTACGAAACATAATATTTGGTTCCCAGCATCTATACTTGAAGGAGTTCTAGAAGAAATGCAGAGCTCTAAGAGGAGGAATGATGAAGATTGACATGAAGGTTCAACCCTAAACCCGAAACCGACAAGGCACAAGAGGGAATCCAACACCCCGAGCCGCCACGAACCTGGTGAGGGGGTATACATAGGCAGTGGATCAGAACGAACACTGCGTGTCCATATCCCGGCGCCCTTTAAAAAAAGTAGTATTAGTAGTACTATTATTACTATAATTAATTACATGATATTACTATTAGTACTATTATACCAAAAACTGACACCTCTTCCCCCTCAAAAGGAGGCCTACATTCCAAACCTCCATTGGGGCCTGCGGGTCCCAAGGCTCCGCGATCTTCGCTTGCCTGATGCCACAAGGATGGGAACTGGCAGTGGCTTAGGGAGGAAGATTGAGGTGGCCCCAAGCCGGGATACATGGGAGCTTCCCAAAATTAGGGGTACCGGGTACCATTTTGGTTTTCCTAATAATAAGTATTATGGTTTTTTGGTGTCTATATTGGGGTCCCCCTACTTTGGGAAACTACCGCATCAACTCTGTTTGTCTCTTTGCTGCATCTTCAAAAACTGCAGTAACTGCAGTGTCAGGTCTTGTTAATGTAAAGCACATCAAGAGAATTGCACGACTAAGGGCTCGCAAAGAAGCACATGAGCCATTGTCTAAACTCCTAGTATCCCCCCTAATAACCCCTCTAGTAGCCCCCCAAATAATCCCTTATATAATCCCCTTTAAGGAGTTTAGACTATAGTTCACATGAGCAGCCAGGAGCATGCCCTGGACATTGATACATGACGATGGCACAATGCGCACGTCCAGAAATGAGGGTAATTTTGTTATGCCTGTACTTTAGGTTGTGACTACAAGCGACAATGGTAATTATGTAGATGCCCTTGTAAACTCCTAGAATACCACTCCTACTGGGCGAGCGCCGAACCCAACCTATACTACAGCCCTTCGCGTAGGAGCCCACAAACCAAGACCTGCTTTCTGGAAACCTGCTCACGACAGTATCTCATCCTTCCGCAGCGGAATGCCTTTTGGGTGGCGATGGGCCTCCTCATAGTCGAGAAACCGAATGAAACGGTTGGTGACATACCATAAGGACTAGGGCTTAGGGTCTTTTTTGAAGTACCCAATACCAGATTGTACAAAGACCCCTGGCACCATAATATTGGAAATTGTTTTTGACTTCTGCATTCCACGGGTTTAGGGTGTACCATCACAAGCAAAAAGCTAAGGGAGCAGGCCTTGAACGCCCCTGGAGTTCCACGCATCGGGCCACTCGTCAAACCAAGGGCTCATTCCTGTTCAAGGCTGCTTCTGGGTTTAGGGTTTAGGGTTTAGGGTTTAAGGTTCAGATTTAAGGCTAGAATTACAGAGGAGCAATTTTTAAAAAAATGAAATCAGAACTTGGCCTATATAGGGGTTGATAGGGATGGTCGAGCCCTGGAACACTGCCTAAAAAATGCATTTTGGGCAGTTCATGAGGGTTTGAATAAGCAAAATGCTGACATCATTTTCAGGACATCTCTAGGAAAGGGTTTAGGATGTACAGTTTAGGGCTACGGCGTCTTAAGACTATGTACTCAGAAGCAGACGCCCTAAAGGATCCAAAAAATCAAACCAGTAATCTCTAGCTGCCTTTCTTGGATGCTAATCCAAAAGCCCCAAACCCCAAACCCTGTACCCTGAACCCTAAGCCCTAAGCCCTGGGATGATCGAGGTCTGAATACAACATGACAGCAATCGCCGTGCCATACTACTTGCAGCTGCAACCTTCTCCAGGCCTGGAGCTGGCCCCCACATGAGTAGTGTTTTTTTGGTGGTTGAACCTAGTAAGATAATATTCCTTATATGAAATAATATACCCCAAAAAGGAGGATAGAATCTTACTCTATATTGGGTACCGTAGTATCCCTAAGTAAAATACTACTCACATGGGGTTTAGGGTCTAGGGAAAGGGTTTAGGGTTTAGGGAAATGTGGAAGAAAATGCAAACTACTATGGTAGGTATTATAGTATGACGATACTTACTGGGGCTTAGTAGGGAATAAGGGAATATCTTATACAGGGATTATATTCCCTTATTCCTTACCAAGAACCAGCAAGCCAGGCCGCTGAAATGATTGAATGCCAACCCTGCACGGATCTGTAAGGACTTATCCTTACCCTATTATTGCTACAAATACTACTATTACAATTATTACTCGAATTAATAATATTATCATCAGTATTATGATTCTGAATGTCACACATCTGGGTTGCTGTTAGGGAACTTCATTTAAGTTGTCATCATGGGTATATATAGTGAGTATTGTAGTTTCAACAATATAGTAGCTTAAATGAAATTCCTTAACAGCAACCCAGTTAACCCCACCCTGAATGCCAAACCCTCCTCTCCCTGATGCATTTTTCGTCTAAATCTATTTAGTGCCATTCAGGCATGGTTGGGTTTTTGATTTTGGGGAGATCCTTTGAATGACAGCGAACTCCGCCTGTCAGCGCATGATCCTTTGGCGTAGTCGACAGTCGATTTTGGAGCTTTGTCCACACATGACAGCCTCGGCTTTCCCGGAAGTGTGCTTGTCTAGGTTCCTGCCCAGATGACCCTTTGAACGCGAATCTTGTGGGTGGCTATTCTTCGCTATGGCACTTGTAGGAAAAAAAAGCCCAGACGCCTCTTCGAAGCAAGACAAACGTGACCCAAACGGCCTTGAGATTGCAGCCCCTCCTCCTCTGCAACATCTGCTGACCGACGATACAATCGCTGCAGCAGACTCAGAATATGGGGATAATGGAAAATAAAATGGAAGCTACTATTTAGGGTTTAGGGGCTTGTATATAGGGATAATGGAAAAGAAAATGGCAGCTACTATTTAGGGATTTTAGGTTTATATATAGGGATAGAGGAAAGGAAAATGGAAGCTACTATTTAGGGTTTTGGGGGTTTATATATAGGGATAATGGAAAAGAAAATGGAAGCTACTATTTTATCTATGGCATGAGGTCACTTTGCCTCCTGTATGATCTCAATTGAGCTATAGTCTCAACTCCTGGTATCCCCCCTAATAGTCCCCCATAGAATCCTCCTTTAAGGAGTTTAGACTATAGCTCAATTGAGTAATGTTTTTTGGTGGTTAGACCTAGTAAGATTACATTCCTTATATAAAATACTATACCCCAAAAGCAGGATATCATCTTACTCTATAATGGGTACCATAGTATCCCCAAATAATACTCTACTCAATTGGTTGTAAAGGGCCATGATGCGTAATTCAGTCCGAGAGGCGCCAGTGCAGCTGTATGGCTGCTGCTGCAGTTTCTTCTAACCTGATGCAGCTCCCACAAGCGCAAGAGATGTTCTACACAACTGGGTTGCTGCTAAGGAACTGAAATGCGGTTATCATATCATGAGTATATGGTAAATGATATGGTTTCCACCAAATAGTAACAAAATTCAAGGTCCTGAACAGCTACCCCGAACATGGCCATTCTTAAGCCACTCTTCTCTGGCAAAGAATGAGAACTGCCACTGTTGGCAACCCTAACCCCCAAATTTAGGACCCTATGACTATCATATGATGGTTCTAGGGTCCCCTAAACCCTAAATCCTAAACCCTAGACCCTAAACCCAAAATCATTTTATTATGGTTAGCAACCACAGCATCCACAACCGGCAGTAGAGGAATAAAGGGGGTAAAATGGGAACCCCCAAACAGGGAACCCCAAGAATATAGCAGGAGCATGATCGAATTATAAGGACCCTGGTGGTAGTTGTGTGTATATATTTTCCTATCATACTGCTACTATATTCTTGGGGTTTCCTGTTTGGGGATTCCCATTGAAGTCCCTCTACAGTAGAGGAAGCCCTAAACCCTAAACATCCCTAAACCCTAAACCCTAAACCCTAATCCCTAAACCCTAAACCCTGAAGCAGGAGCTGAAGCAGCAGGCATAACAAGGACAAGTACACTTTCGAAGCTCTGTCATGGTAAAGTGGGAACGTATCGGTTTGGTTTAGGGCTTAGGGTTTTGGGGGCTCTTCGTCTTTGATGCTAGACTCGACTTATACGGGGGTTTCCCAAAATCAGGAATACTTTTTGGGGAGTTCCAAGAAAAAGGGTTGTGGTAATAGTATATTGGGGTCTAGATTAAGGTCCCCCTGCTTAACGGAAATTCCCACACATTGAGAGATCAGGTGTATTCAAAACACGCTAGTTCTGCTCCCGCTTTTCCACTCCTTTTCCTTTCAGCATCCCAGGCAACTATGCAAAACCTGAAAAGCGGCAACGTTGGTGTAAAAGAATTACGAAGCTTGCTCTATTTCCCACAGGCAAAAGCCCTAAACCATGGACCCGAAGTCCTACGTAGGTGTGTACATATATAGATATAGATACAGATATACATATATGTATATAATACGCACGCCCTAAACCCTAAACTTAAACCCTAACCCCCCTAAACCCAGACCTGTTTTACTTCTTTGCCCCTTCCCACCCCTTCCCCACCTTCGCACCCACAGCAGCGCCTCCCGCCCCACCGGAAGCGGGGTGGCAGCAAGGCGGCGGAGCAGCGCACGCCACCTGGATTTGCTTGGGATACTGGAAAAGAAAATGGAAACTACTATAGTATAGGGTTTAGGTTTAGGGTTGGGGATAATGGAAAAGAAAATGGAAAGTACTTATGTATAGCAGAGGGTTTAGATTTAGGGCTGGGGATAATGGAAAATGAAATGGAAACTACTATATAGTATATTGGGGTCATATAGGGATAATGGGATATATAGGGGTTACCTTTGGTTAGCTCGGAATGAAGGAATGGACAAGAACATGAAAACTACTATGGGGGTTTGCGGTCAGGGTCTGGGGTTCGGGGTGGGAATGAAGGAATGGAAAAGAAATGCAAACTACCATAATGGGTTAAATGGGAACTACTATAAGGATCCATTCCTTCATTCCTAGCTAACCCAAGGTAAGTTTGGGGCCCAGGGCTTAGGATAAGGGTTTGATAAAGATTTACGGTGTTAGTTTTTGGCTATAAAGGAGGTAAAATGGGAAAAACTGAATAACCCTGTAATGTTCAGGAATTACCCTAAACCCTAAACCCTTAACCCTAAATCCTAAACTCTAAGCCTTAAATCCTAAATCCTAAACCCTAATCCCTAAACTAAGGTTTAAGGCCTAGGGATGCAAGGCCTCGAGATGAAATTCGTAGAGTTTAGGATTAGGGGCTTCAGATTTTATTTGGGACAGCATATCAAGACTCACCCGGAAATTGCAGCAAGGAGGGCTTCCATTCTGGCAGGTGAAGGGATTTTCTAGGTAGACAGAACATGGAATTGCCCAATATTGAGATAAGATCCCCATATACCCCATATTCTATCTACTTCAGAGGATCGATAAGGTTCAGGGCTGAGGGATCCTGAGACGGGTTCTTGGAGGATCACAGGCTAAGACTCGCAAATATTAGCAAACCCTAAACCCTAAACCCATATTGGCAAAGACACTCCTTGGCGGCCTTCTGCTGAGGCAGGAAAGATGAGGCCTCGCAACGTGGCAGCGTAGGTGGTGTCACGAATCCCTAGTGGTTTGGGGTTTAGGGGTACTCCCCCCCCTCAATAACAGTTGGATAATACTTATAATATGGTTATATATAGCCCTTAATAGGACCCCTAAGGCCCTAATATAGACTGTTACTGGGGTGGGGCAGTACCCAAGGTTTAGGGTTTAGAGACCCCCAAAATCCTTCGTATTCCCTACGTGTCCACGGGGTGCCTCCCCAAGGCATCTGTCGAGGCGCCCGCACTTCAAGAAGAACATACATGCTAAAGTGCTGGACTTGCTCAGCTCATGCACCAGCTTCTTTCAGCATATTGCACCCCTAATTTTGGAAACCCCAAACCCCATATTTCCCTCTAACCCTCAGCCATGTACATTCCCACAACCACCCTGCAACTGATGAAGGCAAGCGGGCGCCTCGCACATGCCATGCAAACATCTGGAGTCAGGACCATAAATTTCAGGTTTCAGATCGGGTTGTCTAGATTATGGTCCAAGGCTGGAACCTCCATAGAATCATAGGGTAACCAAAACCAATGAAAGTAATAAGAATTGTAATAAGAATAATAGTAATAATAACCTACTGGTGGCTAGTAGGGAATAAGGGAATTCAATTTCTCTGTTATCTGTATACTACATTCCCTTACTCCCTACAAACCACTAGTAATTAAGGCAATAATGATAAGAATAACCTTAAACCCCAAACCCTGAAACCCCAAACCCCAAACCCCCAACCCTAAATCCCAAACCCTGAAACCCTAAACCCGAAACCCTAAATCCTGAAACCCTGAAACCTATATCCTGAAACCCTAAACTCTAAATCTTGAAACCCTAAATCCTGAAACCCTAAACCCCCCCAAAGGGTAGGGCACCTGGGGGTTCAATCCAGGAGCAGCTTCGGCCAGCCAGCTGCCCATCTGCGTTACCTGCTTCTCAGAGAATACTAGAGCTTCTTGTTGTTATGCGCTCCTTCTCTTAAGGTTTAGGGTTGTGTTTGTTTTTTTTGCTTCTTCCGGACCTTTTTCCGACCAGCTAGTTTAGTCAGAAAGCCTTCCGACCAGGCCGCTGCAAGCCCCTCTTCGTCTGAACAGCTGTACCTCAAGACTTCTTCTGGGCTCAGAAACGGTTTTGGGTTTAAGGTCTAGGGTTGAAGGTTGAGGGTTCAAGGTTTAGAGTTTAGGGGGCAGGCCGAATCGACCGAGCGGACTGAACTCGCTCGCGTGCCCTCAAAGAGATGACCTGTGCCTGGAAGGCGTCCGAAGAGACTTCTCCGAAATGATTTCTTCTTCCAATTCTTGGAAGGAACCCTCCGCTCCACCCTAGCCAAAAGGGGAACAACTTTCGGCTGCTCAGCTCCCTCAGAACTCACCCCTGCCAATGAGAACACTAGGGGTTTAGGGGCTTAGGGTTTATGGGGTTTCGGTTTAGGGGTTTCAGGGCTTAGGCCCCACCCACTAATAGTGACCGCGGGGGTAACGGCTAACCCATCAACCCTTAAACTCAACAACATGGAATTTCAAACCACTTGAGGGCCAGCCGCCTGACAGCTGTAGTCCAAGTGCTGCCGAACCATGGCTGGAGACATGGAAATTCAGCCCAGCATGGAAGTTGGCATTATTAAGCTTACTCGGACAGTTCGATTTATGGTTAGAACTGGTATTAGAAATCTTGTAAGAACGATTAGAGTCATCAGTCAAATTGGTAGAAAAACTATTAGAGCTGTAATTGGAATTGATACTGGACGTTTTAGATCCGTACAATTATTCACCCACGCAAATCTGCTTTGTATCAAAGATCGTGGGTTTGCCCTTGCTTTGTGTACCATGAAGCACGGCCATGGCCTATCGAGCAAGAAGTATACACGAGTTACACAAACACTTGAAATAGGAGGTTTTTGTGAATCAAATGGAACAGAAGTCATACACCGTATAGACCAGGTTGGGCCCCAACCCACTTGTAGTGACCACAATAAGGAAAATCAAATGGAAAAGAAGATGGAGAATGAAATGAAGTTTCGGGTTTCTGGAAATTGGGGGCCCGCTAGACCCTAAACCCTACGCCCTACACTCAAACCTAGACCACACAAAAAATCCCAGCGCATTTTTCCAGCAATCTCTGGAGCGGCTCAGTAAAGCCTTAGAAGCCAACAGCTCAAGTTCTGTTCATGGACTTTTAACCGGCTGGGGGGACCGCCCGAAGGCGGGACCCTGACATTTCCTCATAACACTGGCAAGAACCAAGAAAGCCTAGATACTGTTGATGGAGGAAATCTTGCACCACCTTCGGTCCCTAAAGTCCTAGGAATTGCATCCATCAACAGTAGTACGCCCTGCCACTTGACTTCCTTCTTTGCCGAGCGGCGAGAAAAGCGTCGCCTCCGCGTTGGTACGAATCTCGCGCTGGCTCTTGGCGGCGTCCACATCACTCATAGGACTTAGTCGACACATGCGGTTTAGGGTTTAGGGTTTAGGGTTTAGGGGGGCCAGAAAGCCACTTCTTTGCAGTCTGAGGTCAACATGCGGATAGGAAGATCCGAGCCGCCATGGGTACTCAGTAGGAAGACGACTAACAGCTCGCGCGGAAAATAATGCCCAGTAGATTGACACACAGGCAAGTCAGACACCCCCCGAACACTCAACCCTACACCCTAAGCCCTAAACCTTGGGTCAGTCCCCCACCCAGTAATGGGTACCACAAGGGACTATTGTAGGTATATTAAGGCCTTATTAACTCCATAGTAGGGAGCTATTACTATAGGAGGGATTGACCTAACCTAAACCCTAAACCCTAAACCCTGTGAGGCCCAGAAACGAATCCTCCACCTCATCCGTCTCAGACTCATCATATGCAGCGCCGCTTTTTGGACCTGTATAGGCTTTAGGGCTTACAGGGGGCTTATCAGGCTTAGGGTTTAGGGCTTTAGATTTGGACATATAATCGGAAAGGGAATGTTCTAGATACCACACACCCTTGGGGTACCTCTCTCGCGAGAGGCACCAATCTCCAAACCCTGTAATCCAGAAACGCTAGACCTTGTGTTAATCCCCATGACCCCGTGAAGGGCAGCAGAACATAGGTTGTTTTTAAAACAAACGCTACTTGCACCATATGGCAGAAGCTACAGGGATTTGCTTGAAAGGCCCTGAACTTGACAGCCCAATAGATAATGGGCTACCCATGATAATGTCAGCTTGCAGCAATAGGGAGGGGTGCAAACAGAGGTCCTGCAGTGGATCACCTCGGACCCCCATAACACTTTAATGTTTCAGGCATGGACTATGTTAGGTGGAGAACGTTTCCTCCCTGCCCAGAAGGGATATCTTGGTGCTGCTAGGAGTCACTTGGGATCTTCACGGATGACTTTGAAAACTCCGAGACCATAAACTGCAGGCCCCAATCTACACCTTAAAATACGAGAATCATCCTTAGGAATGCCCCAAAAAGGGACCCCGAACCATCTCCCGCCCTAAACCTTAACCCTGAACCCTGAACCCTACAGCCGGAGCACCGAGGTCCATCACCGTCGACAGAATGATGGAGCCAAAGACAATCGTCAGCATGACACCTATTTCGACGGTGTCGGAGATCTGCACCTCCTTTTAGCAACATGGATGGTTTAGGGTTTAGGGGGACGCCAACATCCACCACAAAATACTAGAACCCATAAAAGTACCACTGAATTCGGGAAAATCCCATGGAGCAGAAATCAAATCCTAGACGGAAAGCCCGGAGCAACTGCAGAGTCATATGGGCCCTTAACCCTGGGACCCGTACATACCTACTATATGGGTGGTTGTCAAAATTATGGTCCCCTTATTGGGTAGCCTAAATATTAGGTGACGTATTCTAACAGGGATCCAAAAAGGGACCATAATTTCGACAACCGCCTATACACCCCATGTTGGGGGACCATACTTGACACCCTAGACAACAGCTCTCCTCCCTCACCAGGAGCAGACCCCCGAAGAAGAGGAGCAGGGCACTGATGCCTAGCAGGCGGTCCGGCCCATCACTACTAGGGTTTAGGCTTTAGGGTTTAGGGTTTAGGGTTTAGGGGGCTCGTCTGTTCCACAAGTGACTATGCAAGCCGGCATGCCTGACGAGTTGTGCCTGACACTTTTCTGCAGAATGCCACTCTCCATACTCTTGTGCTTTTGATTCTCAAGTAGTAGCTTATAATTTAGGTGGAACCCCCCACCCTGTAATAGTGACTATAAGGGATAATAGGGGATATTTTAAGGTCCTCTTATATTCCTATTCTACCACTATTACAGGGTGGGGGGTCCACCTAACTTATAATTGATAATTCACCCTAAACCCTAAACCCTAAATCCTAAACCCCAAACCCTAAACCCTAAACCTTAAACCCTAAACCCTTATAATTGATGAGAACCAGCTCTGGGCCAAAACGAATTTCATCCTTCACTTCGGGCCTGTCCGCATCAGGTAGAACTGCTTGAAGAGCTCACTTACGATCACGTAGAGGTCGGGCAGTGCCTTCAACACACTAAGCGATTGAATGTTATAAGAAAAGACAGCTTCCAGCTTGACACACTTTGCACTTGAGCTTTCCTTCTTAGCCAGGCTGCAAAAGCCACAAGGACGGAAGACGTCCAAGCAATAAAATGTGAATCGATTGTTTCCTTGGCAGGACCACCTCTGAAAGCAAAGGCTGCAACGGGAACAGAACAAAAAAAATCCTCCATACCGAGGATGGAGGAAATCCTGCACCCCTCGGATCCCCAATATAATGCCTTCTCCCGGGTATACAGTTGGTGCAAGATTTCCTATATCCACAGAAGCAATGAAGTGCATAGCCCATGCGCAAGGGCAAGGCACAAAACCGCCGAGCGTCAATCTTAGCTAGGGTGACGTCTACCTCCATGACAACCATGATGACAATGATAACCACCGTTACCGGAAGCAGCATGGTCATGCACAGCTTGCCATTCTGGGTACGCAGCATACCTGAGAGCGACAAAAAATCAAACTCCTACTCCCTCAAGGTCTCCAAGACCGCCAGAATATTTCAGGCTAAATATGGGGACCCCAATATACGCCCCCAAATATTATGATACCAACTATAAGGACACGCAACCAGGTACACCTAATTTGGGAAGCCCCCGCCATGAAATGAACTTTGGCCTGCTTACGGGCTGTCCATAGGGGAGTAGAGGAATGGATATCTGGAGCAGCCCCTATATGTGGTTTAGAGTTTAGGATTTAGGGGTTTAGGTTTTAGGATTTAGGGGTTTAGGAGTTTAGGGTGTAGGGCTCCGGGAATATAGGTTGTTCTCAAAATGATAAGCCCGTTTTGGGTATAAACCATATTACAGCCCGTTTTGATTTCGGGGTACATAGTAGGGAAGTGTGTCCATCTCCCTTTTCCATTCCTGCCTTCCTACTAACAAAAGAAAAGGCAAGCTGAACCTTCCTGCTTAACCCCTAAACCCTAAACCCCAAACCCTAAACCCTAAACCCCTACACCCTAAACCCCTAAACCTCTAAACCCCTAAACCTCTAAACCCTGCTTCATGCAGCTCAGGTGCTCCCATCCGAAGGATAATACGGTAGGAGCCTGCTGCCTCGGTAACTAGATTTAGGATTTAAGGGTTTAAGGTTTAGGGTTTAGGGTAATAGATTTAGGATTTAAGGATTTTGGTTTTAAGGTTTAGGGTAATAGATTTAGGATTTAACGGTTTGAGGTTTAGGGTTTAAGGTTTAGGGCTTAGGGCTTTGGGCTTTAGGGTTTAGGGTTTAGGGTTTAGGGTTGGGGGCCATGGGGGACGCAGCGCAAGAGGATGACTAAGGTTCAACAAGGCCCACTCTCAAGGGAACGCTGCCACTGAAGCATCCCGAAATGCTCGCGGTACTGCAGATACTACTGTTGTTCTTACTACGACTTTTATGACCATCGAACCTTGTATATGCGTGTATATCTGTATATATATATATATATCCCTATGTAAGCGTAACCCCTTTTCTATCCCTATACCTCTCCATATAGTCCCCCTTAAGTAGATAGAATATGGCTTTGGGTATATTATAAGAAGATCCCCATATACCCCATATTCTATCTACTTAAGGGGAACTATGACCCCAATATATACCCGATTATAATATAGTAGTTTCCATTTTCTTTTCCATTATCCCCATATAACCCCAATAATATA